AAATCTAGCCAGTGTGAGCTTGACACGCGTACAGTCGATATTACCACGCTGGGTAGGCATTCATCATCTCAGTCGAGCTTGATACGAAAATGGCGCTAAAGTCGCCTTAACTACTTGAATGCAGACAGTATCAATGTGATTTTACAACATGAGACTAAATGTGTGATGTGCTCTACTTTCGCTAGCAATATGTTCATGCCTTTTGCGTACAATTCGAAATCGCGAAAAGATCTTAGTCATTGGGCCGTGCCCCCAGCGCTCGCACTAAGCTCCACAAGCTATATCGGTCGGCGTGTTTGATGGGCTCACGATGAAATCGTCGTACGCGACGAGGCTTCCACTGTGGGGTGTGAGCTGGGGTAATCCGCTGGCGTCCTTGGTAACGGTAAAGCGGGTCGAGTAGCTGCGGGAGTTGCATCGTTAGTATACTCCATCAGACTAGTACAATGCTCACGGAGTTGTGATTTTGGAACGTACTAGGCCTGAGAGCAGTTTCCACCGTCGTATCTCGTTTCGATAACACCAAGCACCTGGTATGTCTTCTCGGCGGTTGTTTCTGAATCAACGGTGGTCACGTTAGGAAGATGGTTCCAAAGCTTGTTGCCGGCTACGGGGAGAAGCTCCTCCTTCAGCGCGACAATCTCTTCGGAGCCAGTAGCGGTGTTCTCAAGAACGATGAGCTGCCCGTTGGGTGTGAAGAAATCGGTAAAAGTGCTTGTAGCGGACGGGTCCTCCGCGGAGGCGTAGAGCCTACAAGTTTGGGTTAGTGCTCTAGTCGTTCTTGCCGTTTGCGGAAGAATCATGGGATATCGTACTCTTTGACGAAGGACTCAAAACCGACTTCGACCCCAGATCCTGTGGAGTACTGAGTCATCTCGACTGATGCTGCTACGCCCAAGAGGCAGACAGGTGTGATAAAAGAAGAGAGCTTCATTGCTGCTTTTGCTGCGTACTTGTGGAATGTATTGTAAGGTGACGGGAGAGATGATCGTAAAATGATTCATAACGTGTAGCTTTTATACCTATTCATATCGCACATGAGTTGGCCTACTCCACAACGAAATAAAATAGTACTCAACCATACCCTCTCCGAAGCAATACCGTGGCTAGCGATAGCAGCTTCACCGCTGCTACGCATGGATACAAACACCAGTCTGCTTAACGCATGCTGTCTGGTTGGTGAGAGAAAGCTCGCTGGCAAGACTGAGATAGCGATGCAGCCAGTCAGTCATGAGCAACGAAGAAGTCGGGTTTTTCTTCGAACAGTACGACCTTAATCGATTTTGCTGCTTTCAAAGGGGAAGTCACATTCGCTAGCCATTGTATTCGAAATGCTATGGTCTAAGCATTCTACGAGATCTGGTCGGGCCGGCGCGGCGGTATATCCACATCGTGAAGGAAATTCGGCCGGGGAAAATTATGGGTTGCGTCACTTGCTTGAGACGTCTTACCTTCTTGCACAGGGAGACAATGGAGAGAAGAACCCGATAGCTCGTCTTTTTCTTAGACAAGATTGTGCTTCGTAACAACCCTAGGGTGATGTTGAGGGGCGTCGCCACGGTTTGGAATTTGAGCCCATTGACGCCTGGGCAATGATCACCGTCCAGCTTGTGGGCCACGATGCCTTGGCTGGACGTTCGAGCCACGATTGAAGGCCGTGTCGTGAAGAAAATTCTCCACAAAGATAACACAGGTGGGTGGTAATCGTCTTGAAGGTGGGCCCTGTTCGTGATCATGGGACCTTCTGGCTTTCGCGCGCGAGCCTGTCCAATCATTTTGCAACCATGAGGCATGCTCATACTTGTGCCGCTTCGACCATATATAGCCTGGAGTGTCGTGTTAGCAGCTCATGGCCCGCAAGCGTGAATTTCGATGCCATGGAGCTGGGGCATCATGGGTAGAGAGGGAATGTGCCTCGCGCCTCATTCAAGGTACAAACTGAAATACTGGATTGCGATAAAGTCAACGAGCTTCCAAGGCAACGTGTACTTCTAGGTTGGGAGGCACCTAGGTAGGTATTCATCTTTTCCCATAGATTTTGTGCTCGCCTCTTTGGATAGGTGCATTACAGCTATGCTAACCAACCAGCGGGCAAGCTGCTTCTCAAGCTATGGAGAGACTGAGGTGAAGCATGGCAGCGTACCTTGGGAACTCGGCGCATTCTTTCGAAGATCAGTGGTGTCCAGCCGCCTCGACCGGGTAGGGCTGCCGGTAGATTTGCGATTGCGCAACAGAGCTGAAGACGTCGGGCGCCGAACGATTGCGCCATGGTATTGACCTTCCTGATGCTCGTTCTATCGTTCATACGGGTGTCGGCGTGTCTTCGTGATGCAGTGGGCCACGTATCGATTGCATTGCTGATCGGCAGGTGCAGAGGGATGGCACACTTGGGCACGGGCTAGTACGAGAGAATAGCAGACCGCTCTTGTGTTATGACATCTTCGCGCGCGACAACGTATTTCCCGTCGGTAACGGTAGTTAATGACGAAGTGAGTGAATGCGATGCGACGAGGGACCAATTTTCCCCATGGGATGTGGTGGAAAACGAGCCGGCATCTTGATTTGGGGTAGATCTAAAGGAATTGCCGATTGCGGGGTTGCTGCAGGAACGCGGAACCTAAAGCTGTACGTCATCTTCGGTACCTGGCAACGGCATGGAAGCTTGTCACCGCACGTAGCACATGTATATATTCTGGCTATGCGACTATGATGTCGTTGCGTTTAGAGTTTCCAACTAGTATCTAGCAACGTTACCGCTGCTTTCACCATGCGACTCTTCACCCCAATCACTGCACTTGCTGCTGTTACTACCTTCACAATGGCACAAAGCGCACCAGAACCACCTCAGATGACCCTAATTTACCACATGGAAGCGCTCCTGGGAGAAAGATTCTCGCTCGGTTCTATTCCAACCGGGCAAGAACGCATCGTCATCCCTATCGTTGGAGGCACTTTCAAGGGCCCAAGAATAAGTGGTGAGTAGTCCTCTTGGCCTAAACATGTCATCGTGTTTCAAAGATCATGAGAAAAGGCTGGGATATCTCTTCGACAGCTCGTGCCTCGTGCTCTTATGTATCATGACGTCATGTCACTCACATCTTGTAAGGCAAAGTTCTCAATCTCGGCGCGGACTGGCGCCTTACAGACGCGCAAGGCGCTTTCCGACCAGACGCCCGATACAATATCCAGACCGATGACGGAACCTTCATATACGTCCAGACGATAGGACTCCCACCCGCTGCGGATGGTGCCCCCACGATGTTGCGAGGACAATTCGAAACCGACACAAACGGAACTGCTGCGTGGTTGAACGATGTGGCTGCTGTAGGCGTCCTCAGAAGGAACGGAACGTCGAGTGTGATAATCGACATGTGGCAGGTACGTGGAGGGAAAAGAGCACGGGACGAAATTAAGGCTAACAAGCTCAGGCATCTCCACCTGCATAGGGGTCAGGCTTTGATGTTGAAAACAAAAATAAAATCTGGATTGAACTATCATCGTGCAATGCTTGATGCTGATTTCTCTTTCGACAATCCCGATGCGGGTGGCGGTTGTGGCTCACCGCGTGGCTGGTAGCCGAAAATTGGCGCCGACCTCGCTCTTCCGCTAGTGCGCGTCTTCTTACCTGTCAAACCTGAATCAAACTTCACTCTATCTCGCAGCCCCCTCCGACTACTTCCGACCTTCAGAAATTCTATCATTATCTACCGTTCAATGATGACAGACATGCAACAATGGCAGATCTTACCAGCCGATCTGATAGAGCTTCAGATTGGCCAAGTTGAGCTTTTGCTGGCAATGTACCCTGACGAGATCACACTCGACGAGAACTCTCAGGGAATACTAGATATCCTGCGCGATACCGATGATGCTCGGTCTAGATCTGCAGCCAAATATACGCCGGTCATCCCAGTCATCCTTGACCTGCCAGTATCTACGCCCAACGAAGAGTCGCCGAATTCAAGGACATTGCGTCTGGATATTGGGGTACCGTTCGCGTTTCGCGGTGATAAGCCGCCTTTAGACCCACCGACCGTAAAGGTTCGGGTGCAGCAACCGCAATGGATGAACAAAGCCGCCACGTCGCGGTTGACGTCGGACATACCAGAAGATGAAGACCTGCTCAGTAAAATCGAGTACATCAGAGAAGCTGCAGTCGAATACCTAACGGAAATTGAGACGACGGAACTGGGCCCGGATCTCACTGCTGTGGACGCTGGACCGCTGGTAAGAGTTTGGTTCTATTTTCCATCGATCAGCACACGCTCCAAACGCGACGACTTCATCAAGTCTGCTCCTTCTTACCAATTGACCGGCTTTCTTTACGCTGGCAAGCCAGGTCTTCTGTGCGTCGAGGGCGGATCACAAAATATCGATGATTACATGAAGTACATCAAAACGGAAAGCTGGGGCGACATCCCGGCCCATCACAAGAAAGTCAGCGAGCGACATCGCGAGCAATGTGAAAAGCGAGTCTTCCCAGACATGACTGAAATTACCGACACAGTCGGTGAGCGACGCGGCCAAAGAGCGAATAGAGGTGACATGAAGGCGATCGAGGAATGGCTTGCGGAGAGGGGACTAGGCGATGCTTTTACAAAGGTCTTAATGTAATCCATCTCTACTTGACCCCCATACGGCCTCGCTACCTAGCTTTACTCAAACATCCTGGACATGGAATATCAGAGTCGGAACTTCTCGCAACCCCTTATCATCTTCATCTTCATAATACAAGCATACTTCTTGAATAGTCTTGTGGCCCAGTTTCGCCTTATGCTGAGCGAGCAAATGCAGTACGCCACTTCCATTGGGTGTGCCGCATAACGCTATCGCCTCTTCAGACTCTATTGGGAAAGCTATACCTGGCCATCTCGGAAGCCAGGAGTCATACGAGATTCCTGGCTCAGCTGTTTCCTGTCGTTTTTTACGAAGAGAGGCAAGAATGATGCTACAGATGGCTCGTGTATTCGCATTGAGAACCTGGTATCTTACTACAAGTCTTAGTTCTGGCATGTTGTACCGAGACCTAAAGTTAGTACATACATTCTTCCATTGCAAGAAAGCAACATCGGACCAATGTCGCAGCTCTGGGAGTTTGGCTACCAACGTCGCTGGATCCAGATTCCTATATGGGTTCAGCATTGCTTCCGGGGTCGTGTTGCATTCTGCCAACAAAATACCGGCCTCGGGTTCTATCACGCTGTGAAAATGCGCCATGGTGGCTGGATAGGTCTTACCGTCGACCGTAACGGTCTCGTCGTGATTGGTAAGGATACCCGCTGTAGTGGGAGAAGACTTGAGGGTAGGGCCTAGGGCTCGTACTAGGTTCGTAGCAGGAGTGGGACTCGGGCTAGCAAGAGTGAAAGTACACCAACCCCATACTTCCAGGTCATCGATGTCCTGAAATTTACTTTGAGGTGGACCGTCGGTGATATCCGCGATTGTTAGAGCCAAGAGGCGTTGTCCTTTTTCGACGGCTTCTTCGTATGCCAACGCATGCTTCATGATTGTGCCGAATTCAGGCGTCTTATCACTCATGTCTGGGGTATCGGTATACTATATGGTTGACAGCTGGAGCTGAACTGATGAAGCGACCTTGGGAACGTCAGGTACCTAGATTATCGTGAGCAGGGAAAATAAATCACCACTGGAATGCAACCTTGTACAGCACTATTCAACGTTCCAAACATCGTGAACGCTTACCACTATCTTGAGAGGATAAACACGAGACATTGCAAAAGTGCGCACTTTCATCCGTGATCGCTGCGCTTCTGGCGTGCACAAAGCCATTGTGAGCACTCAATGGTCCCTCAACACCACCACCTCGACCTGATGGTAAGGCATTGTAGAACATTCATTTCATTTTTCACAGCAGATAATCATCCGCGTCTGTCCAAACCGTTCCGGCTTTTCATGTCTGCAAGAGAGTGACTTTCATGCAGGTGTTCATGGTAGAGGAGCTAGTCCGTATTCGGTAAGGCTTTCTTCGCCAGCGCGACGCGAACGCGTCTCCCAACCACCTCACGCTCTGCCCTGACATCTGCGTCACGATCTCAACAGTCATCTATTCCTGTTTCTGTCGGAACTAAGGAGCTACCTCAATTACTCATCAAGCTACACGTAGCGTAGTCTAGTAAGCAAAAGCCGATATCGATCACAATGTTATGAGCACGGTCTTCACTCAGCAATTCTTGCATGCGTCCTACCGCAGCTGTCCACTGCGACACAAACACGCCTGCGCATTCTTTACTACATTTTGCGAGCTCAGTCCGTTAACAGCTTATATTAGACAAGAGAAGAGAATATAATTATGTCACTACTGCGGTACATCGCACTCTGCAGGCCATTCCCTGCTTGGACTAGAGGCTTGAACCCGCCTTGCGTGCACCAGCGAAGGTGTTCTGTATACCGTCCCATAGCGGCTCGCCACCCTCGGTCATGTCCTTCCATGCCGGGCACGCGAGGCTCAACAGCGGCGAAGCCAGGGTATCCGTCACCAAGCTGATCGGGACTTCGAGGGTCGACAGCAGCGGAGAGAGCGAGTTGGGCAGGAACGTCTTGAGCAATTCGAACACGAAGCACAGGAGATTGTTGTTCTCGAGCAGGGAGGCTGCATTGAGGACGCCGCCAGTGACATTGTGGAGATCGAGGCCGGTGAAGGAGTTAACGGTGCCGGTGTTGCCGCCAATGCTATCAAGAGATGTCAGCCTATCACTCAACACTGAAGGTGGAAGATTTTGAATACGTACCTGCCAAGGACTGGATGCTTTGCGACCCACGAAATGATGTCCAAGTTCAGTGGAATCAGGCCGTACTCCACCGGCTTTCGGTACCAGTTCTCGGGGATTGACTCGTGGCCCTTACGATACTCCATGGTTCCGTTCGCACACTCATACACGGCAAAGAACTTGCGGAAGATCTCTTGGGTAAGAACACCTTCGGGGTGCTCAGCTGTGTGGTTCGAGAGCAGACGACCGAGGAAGAAGTAGCCAGCGTTACGGCTGACCATGCCAGTGACGGGCCCATAATAGAAGTTTGGGTTGTGGGCGACGCTGTACTCCCAGCGGCGGGCAGCTTGGTCGGCCAGCAGATCCATGGAGAGGACACCGTTTTCATCGGCACGATCGTGGAAGTCGCGGAAAAGCGTCATGTTCATTGTCCAAGCATCACCGGTCACGTAAAGATCATCGCGCGTGAGCGATGAGTCTGACTCGATCCAGTTGTGCGAACCTTGAAGACCTCGAGGTTTACCTGGGAGGGCGTAAGCATGATAACATCTGGAATACGTCGGAGTGATGTACTTACCGAGAAGACCAAGCAGGTTTCCTAGGATGTTGTTCGTGCCAGCAGTGGGGCCTCCGATGGAGAAACCAGGATCCAACGATAGTGGGTTTCCTGTCCAGACAGTACCCATGATACCGAGAACGAGAGCCAGCTCTGTGCCCATGCCCATCACTGGATATCACGCGTGTTAGAGTTGGCCAGTCTACTTTGAGACGCATCAGACGAACCTTGGTTGATGGCGGCCACCACTTCCACGAAGCTGGTGACACCATCGCGAGAGATGTATCCATGGTTAGCCAGAGCATTGAGTCCAGGACACGGTCCGCGCTGGTCGTTCTTCTTGGGAGCTTGGAAGGCGTGTTTGCCAGTGATGTCAATGGGTTTCTTTACATCAACGAGAAGTCTCTTGGCATGCTTGTACTCCTCCACCGATCGAATAGCCGCATTCAGCTTTTCGGGTGTGAGGCCATCGAGGTGCTTATGATGCAGAGAAGAAGGAAAGGCATTGGCAAAGATGTTGCCCGAAAGGAGGGTGAGAATAGAGAACGAGAACTTCATAGCGAGCGGAACGGTTCGAAAAGATACCTGTTAGACAAACAGCCAAAGAGAGTCAAGGGAATAGTAATTAGATGGTGGTGTCTACGAGCATCATGTAAGCGTAAGCCACATGGAGATGAGCCGGCGGTGAGACGCGGACGAACTGCTGAATGCGGATGTGGCATAGCTGAGCGTTCGATTGCATCGGAGGATTTCTGGCAAAGTGACAAGCTAACCACTTTGTTTGCCCAGGCAGAGAAGCAACGACTATCATCATTAAACAATCCCAGGACAATCGTGGGGAAGATCATGAACGACCGCGGCACGGTAAATGCCACCGAGTTCAGACTCCACTTATGCCAGGGACAAGACTGAAAGAGGACTAGACAAGAAGATCCAACTCAGTCGATTTGGGATGTTGAAAAGGAGCAAGGCTGACGATACCCGAAAAGTGGTCTGAAACAAATACACCCGATGCCAGGGCTCGAAAGAAGAGGAAAGAGCAGGCAGATCGCCAATAGTGGAGACGCAGTGTGAAGGTCCGATTAATTAAACGGCCCGTCCAACTGGGGCCAAGCTTATCTGTATCCAGAAAGCCGAAGGTTGTGAGTTTACCCCTGCGGTCCGCTCCGGTTCCCTCAACGCTTCCAAGGTTGATGCTGTCGCCAACCGCGCTTTTGCATATAACATACATAACTTTGATAACTCACTTTTTTTTGATCGCTCTTCTTGGAGTTCGGTAGCATAGTACGACAGATAATGTAATCGTTAAATGCCTTGGCGGAGATCCTTCGGATGAACGTACATACGTAATGTCCAAGGCCCACCTGACGCCTTCGAGAAGCACCGAAGCAAAGATGTCGGAAGAGATAAGTGGCGAAAATTTTGGCATTTTCAGTGGGACGCGCAGATGTTGAATCCCCCCTTGGTACGAGTGGTCTTCGAGAAGGGTTGTCCTTGGTAGAATCCCTGTCGTGGTTGCATTATGGGCCCTGAGCGGCTTAACGCTCCTTTCCCCGCGTCCTAGCTTCTGAACCCAGCACGGCCTGTTGGCTTCACTCCGTGGACGATCCCACCCATTGCATCCACGCGCTACTGTCGTTCACGCCCGAGTTCGGCGCTTAGTCTGAGTCCAGATCAAGCCTGGACTCTAGTCATGCCACTTACTGACGTGACTACAATGTACACCGTGACTGGAAAATGTAATCATCATGTACGCAACGGCACCACGTCGGCAGTGTTGAGAGGCGCTGGACATGATGTCTTGAATGCGGGAGCGATGAGAAGACCGAAGGTGTGTAGAAGATATAGTACATTATACAGTTCTCTGAAGATACGGTCTATGGGATATCCTTGCTTGTGACGCCTGTACTCCGTTTGTGTCGACGCCAAATGGCTACAACACCAATATTGCCCATGAAGGCTCATACATGTTCTCTTCCCATCATAGGAGGCTTGTTCCAGTCCTGGGGCTTACCATCATTGGCATTCTCTGTGACCACCGAAGCATTCCTGTGCGTGACTTCCACCTCATGTGTTGCCACGATCCAACCCCTAGAGTCTCGTTCGGTGTCCCGTTTCGTCAACATTGCTCGATCGCTGTTGTCGTCCATGTCGTCCAATGGAATGAAGTTATTCTCGTCCTTTGCTTTGGGTTTTATGGAGAGGCGGACCGACTTCTCGGGGGCCGTAGAGCTGATGGTCGTGTTGTTGGTACTGTTGAACTTTGAACCTTTCGTCGAAAGGGCTTTGCTTGCTCCGATTGTCGACTGTATCTTCGGCCAGAACTTGGCGATCAATAGCCGGTGAGCAGGCATACATCCGCAGACGATGGAAACGTCGATTTCGATAAGACTCCATAGACCGGCGTCGACGTAGTCCCAGGTGACATTCTGCGTATTCGAGAAGTGGATGAGGGATTCCAAGCGAATGACCGAGATGACGACGACGAAGATACCGACACCAAACATGGACATGACCATGACCTTCTTCTTGATACCCATGTTCAACGCTGCTAGATGTTTCATCGGGAGCGCCATGACGACGACGTCCAGGAAGATGTTGATAGCGGCCGCGATCCAGCCTTGGAGATGGATGTTGTTGCAGGTGCCCTCGTGGAGTCCATCCCATTGATCCCAAGCCATGCTGATGGGCCGGCATTGCATGAGGGTGACGACGAAGAATACGATGGTGTAGACTCCACAGACGCCCATGACGCTGTAAGTAAGGATTCGAAAGCTCTTGGCCGGAAAGACGCGAAGGTAGAAGAAGAGAATCGAGATCTTGGAGACACCAAGGCCAGTCACGTAAAAGATTTCTCCAAGGAAGTAGTAGAACAGGACGTTGGTGATCTGGTCAGCTTTGAGAGTCCAAATGTCTCGTCCAAGACCGTTTTTAACCACTGCAACGTTGTAAGTAAAATGGCGGCCAAGGGTCTGTCGAAATCGTCTTACAGAAATGGGTAAAGACCGCGGGAGGTATAGCAATCAAGACAACAATAAACATCGTCAAGTCGTCCCATGATACCTGGCGGCCCTTCTTGCCTATACTAGCGGCCATCCTCAGGATGAAGGCTAATATAGCGACAACAGCTCCGGCTATGCCAATAGCCATGAAGGAGTCACCCTTGTAACGAATAGGTACTCCACAACCAGTGCTGGTGATATTCTTGGTCTCTGCTACGCATCAGTATCCAAGTATGCGGCCTGCACGTTACG